TATAATAAAGCATCCCAGTCACAAACAAGAAGAACAAGAAGAACAAGAAGAACAAGAAGAACAAGAAGAACAAGAAGAACAAGAAGAACAAGAAGAACAAGAAGAACAAGAAGAACAAGAAGAACAAGAAGAACAAGAAGAACAAGACGACTAGAATTGCATCAAGTATGTAGAAAATCAAGATTAATAGGGAAGAACTTCAAATCTTGACAAAAATCATTAATCTTGAAACAAGAAAAAAACACTAGATATATTGAGCGGAACTACCTTTTCATCATGTTAATATTACACAATGTAAATGCTGGAAAAGTCAGTTTTTCTGACGGAACAACGATTCTGTCCAAAACATGTATATGTGCATGAAGCTTCTTAAAACTTGAAATTATCTGGATTATAAGAGCGATGACACCAGCAAGAATCAAACACAGCCATATCACACGTCGAATTGGACCGTAAATTCTTTTAAGTACAAAGTGAAACCCATGGAGAGTACTGTAATCAGCAAAATCTTCAACTAGCTGCGACGATTTCGTTGAACTATTGGACATAATTGTTAGCCCTCGTGCGATATAAAGTCAGCTTTGGAACTGCGTGTAACTTGGAGTCTACTAGTGCACAATTTTGCTTGGCTCCCATACAGTCTCTTCTTAACAGACAATCTTTTTGGATTCCAGTCAAATTTAGTGTAAAAAGCCCATTGCTTTTCAATGAGTTTTTTTTTTTCACTATTTTTCAGTTTGCCTCTCCACCAGTCTTAAGACCTTCAAGTAGCCAACACGAGTCAGTTTGCAATAAATATATAATTTTATTAGACTAAGTGTGTCGTGCCTTTTGCGCCACCTGCCAGCAATGCCATGACGTACTATCTTTCATTGCTTTAGGTTATAATAAAATAAATACGCTGCTGTGTGCTTGATTTTTTTCGTGGCTTTTTCCATATCAATACTCTTGTTTTAAAATTAACATCCATGTATAAATGTACGTTTGTCTTTTATTAACAGAAACATCTTGTTTGTTGAAAAGAGAAGTACAAATAGTTGTTTTAGTAAAAGCCGCTTTCCTTTTGCCTTCTGCTCCCCGAACAGCTAGAATCACGTATCTTTTAAGACAATATATGCTGCAAAATTTTTGATTGTATGACTCATTGTGTAGTTGAAAACCTGAAGCTACTTGAAGATTGACACATAAATACTCAATATCTTAATAAAGGAAATATAAAGTATAGTCCATTTCAATAGAACCCAATTCTTCACTAAGTACACAAAGAATAGGAACAAAAAAAATTGATCCTATGTATAAATGATACCAGCACGTTAACTTTTTTTATTTTTGTACAGAATGGATCATGAAATTTTAAGATATACAACTATTTCAAAAAATGTCATTGGATAAATGTCAATTGTCGAATGGCGATTGCACGACCGAAAGAAACCATGGTTTTGCTAGTTGAAAGGCAATGACAACTGATTTATACTGTCAGTACTAGCTGAACATTGGCTCCATTTAGTCTCCATTTCTATGAAAGGCGAATCCATTAACTGAAAATTTGTTTGTTAAAACAGGATAACCATAGTCCCTTTCGGGTGGTGCATTCTCCCTTGGACAATCGCCGTTCACCGAGACCGTTTGACAAAAAAACAAGCAGAAATCATTGATGACGAGACTCATCAATAGATGTTCCGTTTGTTTGTCATGGATAAAAAGCTATAATTGAGTTTGAAAAAAATACTCCAACACGTCCAAAGTGAAAAACTGCATAATAAGCTCAAGTATTCCATTTTCGAATTCAAAGCGAATAACCTCTGTTTTATTTGACAGCAGATTGTTTACGCAGCCTTACCAAACACAAAAGAAAGCACGAGAAAATGTTGTTAGTACAATAGCGCTAACAAATACAATTCCCCCAAGATGAGGCTAGCTCATACCTTAGGTCTTATGGGAATACAGGGTTAGTCTTTATAACTCGGGGAAAATGCAAGTTTTTCAAGGCCATTGTAATAACAACATTTTCTCGTGCTCTCTTTTGTGTTTGGTCAGGTCTTTGCGCAAGAGGATCTGTTGTCAAACAAAGCAGCGGTTTTTCGCTATAATATCGAAACTGGAGTATTCAGATTGAACGTAAAGACAACACAGTTGGGCAATGACTGACAGTTGGAGAAGACATTTATGCAGCTACTACCAGATTAACAACCCTCTACATCACGGTCTGAATTCTGATTGGTTCGATTATGTTCCCTCTTTTTCTGACGACAGTACACAATAAGAAAGTCTATGAACTCCATTACCGTCAGGACGCTACAGCCTAGAAACAGACCTAGATTGCCACCAATATCAGCTGAAAAGAAGACGAAAATAAAAATATCGTAAATGCTACACGAGCATTGTAATAAAATTAAATCAATATCATGATTTTTGATATCAAATGACTCTGATACTAGCCGTCAGCAACAAACACAACTTTGGTAAGATTGGCTGTATTGATGGTTTTCAACCATTTCCATGAAATGAAAAAGATAAAAGACCGGCGGCCATGTTGGAGGAATGGAAAATAGATACTAAAGAAAAACCTTTTGTTGAATTTCCTCCAAGATGGCCGCTGTGACCTTACTTGAAAAAGAAGAATTAGACTTGAACAATGTAAGAGTTGATATAAATTGAATTGCTTCATCTAACACTAAATCACAGTCAACGCGAGCTTAGATTCTATATCCACGTTATCGTTTTAGGACCGACAAAGATAGAGAATCATGGGCGATGGCTGCGGTTATATAAAATCTTCGTACAACTGGACCAGTACATAGCCAACAATAAGACTAGTCTCCTTCACGCGGTAAGGTGCGCCATCTTGAAATGTAGCTGTGCCTTAACATCGAAGCCGGACAACCGTTGAGCGTGCAATGATAAATACCTGTGAATAATTGTCTGTAGGCGTTAAAAAAGGTTTCTATCGTTGTACGCTCAACGGTCGTCTCGCTTCTATGCAAAGACACGGCTACCTTTCAAGATGGCGCAGGGAACCGTGAAGAAGACTATTGTAACTTACATCCAAAGTCGTTAAAATCGTAGCGTGGTCTCTCAAAGCTAACTTCTGTGCTCAGTTCCCCGAAGAAGGCATTCACAATCATAAACCGTGCCCTATAATTAATGTAATCATTGAAATAATCATGATAAAAATAGTTGTAAAAAAAGATAAGTTGAAAACCGTAAAAAATCATCATTAATCATAATAAAAATAATACTTGCATAAAAAGAGAAGTTTAACACCGTAAAAAAGTAGGTTGAAATTACAGTGTTAAATCTATCTTTTTACACACTTGTTTACCGCTAGTTCCCGTCATTAAAAAAGGTTTTTTTTTCAACAAGGATAACTTTTATAAGATGTTGGAAAACTACAAGAACAACAACAAGGACTAAACAAGAACTATAGTTTTGACAACATCCAGTTCCCAAGGGCAATTATCACAACAAAATTTTTGAGATATTGATTTGATGTATTGTTTAATTATGCAAAAACAAAATTGGGTCTATGGACTGATAGTACCCTCTCTGGGCGCCACCTAATGGCGTTAAAGTATTCGGCTCTGAAATGAGAGGGGAAGAAAATGACTTGTTTTTCTGAATAAACGATTGGGGAATTTCAGATCGTGTCACATCAATAGTCACAAAAGATTCCAGACGAGACGCAACTATTGTATCTTCACGAATGACTGAGTTTTATACGCGGAGCATCGTCTTGATTCCTTTCCGTATGCCTAGTATGGTAACATTCTCAAGTCGGCTAGTATAATTGCTGATGGAGCAAGCAGTCAAATCAAACAAATTACGATATATATATTTTTTCATAAACCAGCTGTCTCAAATCTATATCAAGGCACACTTTCAAATTGATCCAAATTGAAATTATTGTCGCATAGGACGATTGGAAGCTAATATTCCTCTATGTTTTGAGAAAAAAAAGTGCATTTGAATTAATAGCTTTCTGGACACCAATTTTTCATATTCATTGCGAAAAAAGTAATAATCTATGCGATAATTCCTTACATGAGAAATCCTTTGTTGAAGTTAAGCCAAGATGGCCGCTGTGCAATCTATTTATGAAATAACTGTTCGTGTTCATGTCGAGACTTTGGAAGGAAATGAAGTTTATCAAGAGCTCAATCTTTGGATACGAATAGTACGAATTTTATATTCCCCAATATCATTCATAACAGTGTCTGTTCCGCTTCTGCCAAACCTTACAACACTGCCACAAGTATGTTTACAGAAGCATTTAGATGCCATCACTTTGAAATTGTGTCGATAYATATCATTAAAGACCAAATAAATGAAGAAGTTATAAGTATAACTCATCTCTGATATAAACATACTAGTAAAATAAACATTTTCTCCAATGTTTGTTATGCCTTCCACGGTCAAAATTACAATAACATAAAAATATCCCCAACTCAAGGTTAGYAGGCCGACAATAGTSACGGACAGCTTTAAAACTTTGTTGTTTTGTAGCTGTCTCCTCTTTCTCTCGATAAAGGTTAAGTTTCCAGGTGCCTTGTGATGATAAAGTTTATAGACAATTATTGAGTACAAAGTAGTTACAGTAGGTATTGGAATACCAAAGTTAAGAGCGGTCATGACTAACAATTGAGCTCTTATTACRCCCTTGTCCTTATAAAAACAAAGRACTKTGTCTTGGCTGRGTATTAACTGGTATGAATACAAATAAGACGACGATATCAGAGCCGAAAAGACCCAAATCCCAGAGATGATGCACTTYAGTCGCGATCTGCGAAAKCCTCCTCTAAGTGGRTTWACAACGGCAAAGTATCGATCAATGGCAATRAAAACACAACTATAAAACGATACAGAAGTTGAAACGTTAGGRAAATATATCGCAATTTTACAAAGAGCGTTTCCAATTTTRCCGKTTATAAGCCATTYATTTCCAAAATACAGGCCTGAAACCTGYAGTGGAACAACAAAACAAGACGAGATAAGATCGCTGACAGCCATGTTGGCGACCAAGAAATTAGTTACAGTTTTTAATCGTCCATCTTTGGAAAACGTTGTTATGATAAAAATATTTCCAAGTATAGAGACAAGCAKAAGAAATCCRTAKGCCATCGTTTTTATAAATACCACATCTTGAASAGCGTTTTCCGTTTGCCATCGATGACTTGAGTTGGATGCATTACCTTGAATGATATCGGTCTCCATAGTCTTGAAATATCTAGAAAAATACCATTATATGCTTGCGAAGATTAAGGCTCTAGTCTTTTTTAAGGTCTCTTGCATTCTTTATCATGTTTTGATTTACTTATTTTTTCCCTCATCTATCAGTTGTTTCTCGATTTATTCTTCGTAAYTGTGTTTGCCAGAGCTCTTGAAGTCTCACTTAAACCTCATCCTTAATTTCTGTAACTTATAAGCGTGTCCCATCTTTGTACCTTTTAATTTTTTTTTTCTTTGGCTCATCGCCGGCAAAACACAAATCATAAAAAGAAACAAACTTGCACAAACGAAACTTCGGTATTTTCAAATAYGCTTATTACGAAAACAAAAATTATCTTCTCAATTAGCAATATAAGATTTGAGATATTTAAATGAGAACAGAGGAATGTGAAGACAGGTGGTACCATATGGTGCGCCGTTTCACTGACTGAGTTAATTCAATGTCAAATTTTTAAGAAAAAAACAAAACCAAAGTGAACTCACTAGTTTTATCAATATGCAAAAAGTCATTTGAAACTACTTGAATTCTACTTAACACTTGATAATCGATGCAAATGATCATTATAAACTGATTCTTTTGTAAAACCATACAATTGAAGGAATCAGTAGAAGCTTCGGCAAAGCTCCCCGYAGTTTACACAATTCAAAGACGATGACCGCTGTGATGTCGACAGACTCGCTGCCATTAAGAAAAAGTCGTTCAAGCTTATATATTAGACATCAATTAGGAGAAAATGTAAATTTGTAAGATTACTGCATGTGGGCAGCATTTGTAACCTCTTTTCCGAGACATCAAGGACTTGAAAACAAAGCTGACTGAAAAGCTGATTAAATAAAGCCGGTCTTAAAGCAAAACRAGGAAAGATTAGAAGGATAAGTTAGTATGGAATTCAAATATGAAAAAAAWAATAATTAGCTTTTTGATGACTGCGTTTTTTTCATATTTTCCTTTGCTTAGAGTAGGGTCTTTGTGAAGGACTGTTGCTTTTCGAATAGCACAATGGCCATTCTGATCAGTAGAAATTGTCACAACAACTTTTTCAACTGTTTTTTATTAATTTACCCACGCTTTTAATCTAGAAATGAAAAAAATAATAAAGGAAAGCTAAAACGTTTTGTCTAGCATCAGCTTGGCGATAGATGAGATTGTATTTAACAAATATGAAACACAAGAAATCCTTAATTAAGTCAAGTAATTGGAGAAGGCCGAGAAGTCAGTTAATATTCTTTT